TTTTTTTTATCAACATCATATATATCTCCTGAATTTTTGAAAGATTTCTGAGAAATTAAAATTTGAGAGAGGTGATTGAGGATTCAACGAGATGTCGGGATCATCGGATCAATTGCAGTATGGTTGGGGCCCCGGTTCGGTGTTGATGATGATTATTGTGGTGTTGTGCCTTCTGTTCTTGCCGTTGGGAATGGGACCTGGGCTGCCGGAACCGCCCGCGCCGTCCGTGTTACTCATCTTTCCGGTCTTCTTGGTTGGCATCATTGTCTATCTCTCCCGCGCCAGTAACTAGCTTACGTTAATAAATTATTAGTAACATTATGATGAATGTATTATTAGTATCTTACTGGGGTCTATTTGGCACTCTTATATAATAACATCTTCCTTTGTACTTCATATCAATATGTTAGTTTGTGTCATTAAATAAAATCACTGTATTTATATTGTTACTTCACTTTATGTCCTCTTCCCTTCTGAATCTGATAATTATCATTACCTCATTCCAAAAAATAGTTCAATTTGAAAAATAAAAATATAAAAATTAGATAATTTAATCTTACACACAAATTAAAAATTAATATAAAAATTTGAATAAAGTTTCATGATTATTCTCAATTTATAATAATTAATTTTAGAGCTATACCAATCTCGTAAGTTTAATTTTTAAGATTAATTTTTGTAAAATTAGACCATTTTTATGGTACAGAAATAGTACTTCATTCTTTTTGATTGTTTCTTCATAATTTTTTATTCATGATTGTGATTAATAATGTATGCATGCGATTGTTGAGCCGGAAATATTTTTCAATGGAGATTTGAGAATAACATATATCAATCAATTAATTTCTTGTCAAATTTATGAGTTGACGTATACACGTGATTTGTATATATTTTATACGTGATTTGAACGTAAATTACATTGACTAATATCAGTTTCAGTATAATATACATTTAGATGCAAATTAAGATCACATGTCATGATCAAATGGATAAATATATTTATTAGTAGTGATGTTTTGAACAATAAATGATACATAATAACATAAAATATTAAATAATTATGTGATCAACAAAATATAACATATCTAAAACGATTTGCTAAAAAAAAAAACACGGATGATATTTTTAAGACTTTTCAAAACTATATACTGTTTTAAAATTCTTGAAATTTAGTGGGAGCACGTGTCCCCCATACCCCATTGTAAATCAACCATGTAATATGTAATTTTCATGTAAGAGGGTTCATCATTTTGTCACTTTGATAAACCTCACTTATAATAAGTAATTGGGAAAACTTGCATGAGAGGCGGTGGAAGATATGTAATTAATAAAAAGGGCGTTATTTTTAAATAATTTTTATTAGCATTATAATCTCAATTCCAAACATGATTTTAATTCTTAATCTAATCAATTTCTACTCATTTCAATTTTTCATAAGTAAATTCATATCTATTTGCCAAGTTTAAGTTTGATAACATATTAATATACAAAATTAAAAATGTTATAGGAAAAAAGAAATAAGTAAATTATTTAAAATACAAAGGTTAATTGTTAACAATTTTGAAAATTCATTTTTCTTAGACAATATTGATATTTAAAATATAGAAGGTCCACAATCCGCATTCCCCATCATTCACGATATCAAGCTTCTTTTACAACATTTTCCTAGTGTTTCCCTATTTTGGGTTAGTCGCTTAGAAAACTCGTATGCTCATGAAATAGCTGATTGTGCTAAGTCTTGTACTGTGCGGGACACCTTTTGGTCGTCACCACCAGAATGGTCCTCACTCAGTGTTGGGTGATTCTAGCTTTCATCATAAAATGATGCGTTTCTTCAAAAAAAAAAAAAAAAGCTTTAAATGAAATTGTCCAAAAAAAAAATTACAAAAGCTCGTGGTTAATTGAACCCTTACAACATTTTTTGTAAAACTTTACTAATCTATTTTGCACTTTATGTCACCCATTTTTTCTAAAAATATAATAAATAAAATGTTAAATATTTATTTTCTCCATTGAGTGTTTAGTGTAGATGTAATATTCATAGTCGCATATCTATAGTATTATATTAAGAGAGAAACTAGAGAGAGGTTTCAAAGATAATTTTTACGCCGCCAATAAGATAAAATTCTATGTGTCAATTTCTCAAAATTTGGAGGAAAAAAAGTTTCAACATTTAGCTAATAGCCCGTAAAAATATTGATTAAAGCATGTTAGTACATTCACCATAATTATCTAAATTAATTAACAATATATATCCTATAACTATTGATCTCACTCCCAAAAATCAAGGTAAAAATTAATAACACAATCCCATATATTTTGTGCACTTAATTAATATTAAATATATCTAATAACTATTGAACTCATCCCAACAAAAAAACACACACATTCAATTTGAATAATTGTGTAAAGATAATGCGTGAATCATTGATACTAATTATTACTATCCATTTTCAAATTTGAATTTAATTAATGTATAATTTTTATCATCTATCAAACCGTAAAGGAAACTTGCAAAAAGATAAAATTAAATGATCTCTCAAATCACACCATTTAAATCATATAAAAATACGATAATTAGTATCTTAATCATTAGTCGTAGGAAAATCGATATATAAATATTATTTGATCGAGATTCTTTCTACCCATTCTAATATTTTTCGGTGTTTAAAGTTTTTATTTTCGTTTCTCTGTTATCTTTTCAATAATCACTCGATTCTCTCCCCTCCTAACTTTGAATATTTTGGTGTTTATATCTAGGTATATACTGAGAAAAGGAGATGCGCTTATTATCATCATATTGTTTAAGGTATTATTGGATTACTTATTTATAAATGAGATCTGTAAAGCCTTGAATTTTATTATTTTTAAGATTAACATGATTGATTTTTCTGATTGATTTTTTTTTTTTTTGTGAGAATGGACTGTGACTGTTGTTTATCTTCTCATGATGGTATCATTATAATGGGAATACTTCTCCGAATGAAATTACACATCAAGCAATCACGAGAATTTCTTCATTTTTTTTAATAAATTGGTACAATACTTTGATTTTAATTTTTTTTTCTTCTTTGTATCATTCACATTTATAGTGTAAAAAAAATTCTCTTTCATTTTTCATGTGATCATGTCATTACATTTTTTGTTATTCAAATTTTTAGTAATTATTATTGCGCTGATTATGATTTATACACATGTGATTTTTTTAAATATATTTTATAAGTAATTCATAAAAATATTATAATCAAACCCGCACATCGTGCGTGTATAATATCTAGTGTAATACTATAATACTCAGGAAAAAAATATGGAACAAAATAAACATTCAAATTTATGAGAAGTAAAAAAAAAAAATTGTTTTAAAAATATAACTTAAGTTATGTTGGGGATTGGAACACAAATTATTTAAAACTATTACCCTCTTTATGAATTATTTATTCTCCACTACCCTTATCCAAATTTTTCCTAAGTAATTCTTTCATCTCATAAGCACAATAGATAATCTTGAGAGTTAAGAAGGAAGGAATTAGTCTGTGAAAATATTATCTATTTATAAATCCAGTCTATATACTAAAACAGAATCCCTTGGAAAAGTCCCTTATACCCCTTTTCCGCTCATTTTACCCACTCCAACTGATGTGTCATTTTTTGGTGATTTAGAATTAATTTTATTTTTTCTATTTTACCTCCTTAGTTTGGATGACTGATGCGCCAAAATTTTTCATTATTTCTTAGATTTTTTAAATTCCTTTTCTTTAGTTTAATACTGCATGCAGCATTGTTCTTTGTGTACTGAATTGATTTTCATGCTTTGTAATAAACAAATGCGTGTTTAGATCATTTTTTTCACAACATACATGTTCCTTTTTGGGTTTTGCCCTTTCTCTTCTAATCCTAACTCCTTTCCCAATTTCCCCCCTCTTCTCTATCATATAACAATAAGTTCTAACAAATAATTTGTGTTAATTAGTAATAGTAAATAACAAGTAATGGTTGTATTTGTATATACTCATAAACATTGCTCATTAAGTAAAAATTATTTATTTTTGTAATTTTTTATTTAAATTTATTTTTATCAATAAAGCCAATGATACATACGAAAAATTAATGGGGAGCCCGTGATTATACGGGATCTATCTAGTATGATTACGATAATAAGATGAGTGGAAATACATATCTGAATTTGGTTACGGATCCTTTAAAGTGAACACGTGTATTCTTTTCTCTTTTGGAGCCTGAAATGATGAATGTTTCTTACATATGCAACATATTAAAATGTGAATAATCATTATTTAGTTGATTGTTTTTATGCTCCATATTAACGAGAAGAATTAATTATAGAGTCTAGAACAGGACTTAAAATCCTCACCAGATAACTAGGATTGTTTAACTGGCCGATTCTCCAATTTACAGGTCAATTGATTTTGGTTAATTTTAGTTTTGTCAATTTCGAAATAAATCGATTAACCAATCGATTACGTAATAGGTTTTATGGTTTCGGTGAATCGGTTTTCAATTTAGTTACTTGTTTTTACCGGTTTAATTAAAACTATTTGTTATATTTTTTGGACAAATGTAAATAATATTACTCATTTTTTTTTAATTTTTCTCTTTTAATTTATATAGTTCATATCACATTTTCAGGCCGATCAAATAAAAAAAATATTTTTAAACTTGAGTACAATAAAACAATTAAACTCTTTCCTTTTTATAATAGTCTACCAAAGAGCATATTATTATAACAAAAGTTTTTAGTAAAATAATTTGAGAAAATAAAAAATATTAACGATATGGAAATATAAGACGTAGAAAGTTTGTCTGCGTTTATAAATTTTAATTAATATATTCGATTATTCAATTTAACCAAACAAGGTATAAGCAAAATCGAAAACCAAACCAATTAAACGGTAAAAAACCGTTTAATCAAGACCTCTTAAACGATCGATTAATTGGCTTATATGATTTTCGGTCGGATTAATCGATGTCGATTATTTTTAACACCCCTACAGATAACTTCCCCTTTACAGTAACTAATAAAATAAAGAGGCCAATCCTGAATGAACCTAATGCGTACATACCATTTCAGAACAAGATAGGAATAAACGGGTCAAATATGCATTTGATCCTAAACCCAAAGGACAAAAATTGATATATTTGCTCTTTCTAGTACTATCTACTATTCTACTCCACAGAGTTACTCTTTGCCGTCCGGTTGGGAACGAACGCAACAAATTGGCAACACCGTTAAAAACTTATACACGATACACGGGTTCATCTTCTTCGTTTAATCCATGGTAGGTTCCTTCAGTCCCATCCATCCAATTTGAATCCTCATTTAACAAAAACACAAATTTACTTGCTTCAATCAGTATAAAGAAATGCAATCTCCGTCGATGAACACTTGCCGGGCCACTTCGAGTTTCATCCATCCTAAAACCAATTACAAATTGAATCACTCATCATCGTCATGTTCATCGTTTTCATTTTTTCCTTCACCCGGCTCTTGCAAATTTAAACCCTGCCCCTCCATTTCATGTAGCTTCGGAAGTAAGAATCGGGAATTTGTGGATAAGGGTCGTGGGAATAGGGAGGGAGTGAAAGTGAAGCAAGGGAAGGAGAATGTGTGGAGTGTGGATAACGAGATGGCCAAGGCGGAAGAAGAGAAATCCAAATTCAAGCGAAAGAAGGGGAGAAGAGGACGGAGAATGAAGAATGTTGTGAAAAAGAAAAGAATTGGAGATGGGTTCATGGTTTCTGGTGCTATGTTGGTGGAGGTTGAAACGGTTTTGCAAACTCAGGTAACATCAATTCTTTCTATACATATAGGAAGGGAGGCTTGTTTTTTCTTTTTTCTTTTTCTTTTTTTTTTTAAATTTTAATTTTTTTTTTGTCTTAATTCTTTCTAGTTTTGCTAAGTATGACTGTTGCTTTCCTACTTTCTAATTTGTTGGACGTGGTTGTTGTTTTGAGATCCTCTGAAGAAAATCGGATGGGTATTAGTGGTCGATGTTGCTGTTTGTAGGTTGTTATGTGCATGAGTTCGAGAAACAGGGTAAAGTCTCATTTCTTTTTCACTGCAGACCGTTCATTGGTTTTTTGCTTATGTCTGTTCAATTTGATTGAATGCAAGAAAAAGATCGAATGATTCAACTCCATCTGGTTTGCCTTGAGATTTTGCCTCTTATGTCCTTCAGAGACAAAGTTTTATGTTTACCCTTGAAGTGCTAAGTGCATAGGACTTTCTGTATTAACCGTCAACTGGCTGTTTATTTTTGTTTCTTTCATAGATCTTTTGTAGTCTTTGCAAAGTCTTGTTTAGATCGATTTGTGGCTCTATCAATAAACAGTAGTTTTTGTGTTATTTTTTTTTCCCGATTGAACTTGAATGACCCTGAGTCTGTTGATTTAAGTTTTACTATCATCGTTCTTTTGATTTACACCTTATGGATTATGATCCCACATATTTAAAAACATTATACTTGTCGAATTTCATGCAACATGGACCATACACAGGAATGAGCTAAAATGGCTGGAATGCAAATCATATAAATGATACATCTTTGCCAAGAAGCACTGTCTATATTAAGCATATACTTGAGTTAATTTAAGTTTGTGTTTTATTGTACTCTCTCAGGAACCTGTCATTCGTCCTGCGTGGCAAACATTTGCAAGCAGTGTAAGTGGTATATGGAAAGGCGTAGGTGCTGTTTTCTCCCCCATCACTGCTGAGATGGAGCCGATTGACGTTGGTAACAAGAACGAGCTCCTATTTGATTGTTACACTTTGTCCCGTCTGGAGGTAGTCCAATCTCCTTCTGATGGACAGATAACTCAAATTAATAGGAGAATAAATTGGGTTACTTTGAACCCGTATGGCGAGCTTCAAAATCAAACAGAGAAACCTGAGGATGAGAATGCTACTTTGTTGAAGAAAAAGACATTCAACAGAAACAACAATCTGCCCAAGTTTGAGTCTTATAATTTTGGGAGAAGTGATGTTATGGAAGAAGATGTCATGAAGATGGAACCTGGTCTTGTTTTCTTTGAGGTAACTATTGTTTAAGTCTTGCCCTTAATTTTCTTTCTTGTAAGAACAAGTTCCTGTAGACCATAATAATGTGAAAGCCTATTTGTATACTATTCGCTTTATATGAGAATGCACTAGGCTCTAGTTGATTAATTTATCTCATGAGAATACTATACAATATTTCTTTGCCATATTTACTGAGGGGGTGGTCATTTGTCAGGATGGATCTTATTCAAGAGGCCCAGTTGATATCCCAGTTGGTGAACGCGACGAATCTAATTATTTCATTTCTCCTACCTACAAGTTTGAGCAAGTAAGCTTGTCTTCATACTGTGCTTTTAGTCTTAGGGTCATACAAACATTTGTCTGCATTTTTGCTAGCAATTGACTATGTTTGCTGCGTGCTTGCTTTGAGTCCATGTTAATGAACTGAATACTTTAACTCATGCTTGTTATCACTGCTTGGAGCCTGTAAGTGGAAAGCTTCATTAAGCCACCCTTATTGATTCAAGCAATCATTGCTCCAACTACATTCTTTTTATTTGTATGTTTTACGGCGATCGTTATCTTATTTTTCCCATTTTTTTCTTCTGCGTAGTGTTTGGTTAAAGGTTGCCATAAAAGACTCCGGATTGTTCACACTATAGAGTTTGGTAATGGAGGCTCAGAAATCCAAATCATGAGGGTTGCTGTTTATGAGGAACAGTGGGACAGTCCTGCTAGTATTCCTGATAACAGGTATGCTACTTTTCAATCCCCACAGGTTCATTGAATTCATAGTTACACTTGGTTTTCATGAATCTTAAATTGTTTATGTGTATAGTCGAATTCAAGTTCATACTTTATAATTACTCTTCGTTGGATTCATTATGCAGGTCTTTGTTCATTTTTTTACTTGTAGATCCTTCTATGTATGAATGCTTCAAGAGAGATTGTATTTTTTACTAATTTTTGCATTTATATGGTGATTGATACTCTTTGCTTTAAGTGGGAGTTATGCATCAATATTGGGTCTTATCAGTTAGGATTGTTGAGCATTACCAATCTGATTTCCTCTATGGGGTGAGTGGACCTGAGGAACTCCACCTCTATTGTAGACTGTTAGGCTGTCAAGTCTAGTTAAATGGTTTGGAGGAAGAGGAGGATGAGAAAAAGGATGTTACAATAGAGCCCACTGAGAAGGAGAGAAGTTCTGAAGCTGTATCCTGGAAGGTTTTTCTTCAATCTTGAATTTGGTACAGTTGTGACACAAAAAAAAATAAAAATAAAAACAAAACTAATAAAAAATTCAAACCTTGATAATGGCTGCCACAGTCTAAGATTTTCTCATTTTCTCTCAAAGATTTGTAGGTTCGCATGTTTCAATATAGAATGTTAACGATCTTTATTATGGTGCTTTAGATGATCAGATCATGTCTTTGTTTTTTGCTCTTCCTTTGGGACTTGAATATCTGCATCTGTCTGTTGATATGGATCCACCTTTGTTCCTCTTATATACGAGGGGGAAAAAGTATTTCCTCTGGGTGAGAATGTTTTGTCTTGTATGCACCAATATCTGTGTTTTGATATTTGGCAGTGAAGTGGCGTTGGATATGCAACCATTTTCTCAAAGGAGAAGAGTTCAACCTTCAGAGTTAACTGGCTCTTGGAAAGTTTTTGAGGTGAGCGCAACACCTATCTATGGAGATGACATTGAGATGGAGGAAAGCAGTGGTGTCCCATATGTGTATCTGTGTACTGAAACCTTAAAGAAGCGAAGCTTGCCTGAAACTGTTTACTTCAGAGAGGAAGAGATGCTCGATATGCAGGATGTCACGGTCCTCTGGCTGCCCGGAGGTGTGACAGGGTACGTTGATGTTAAGAAAGATGGTATCCTTTGTATCGGTGTTGGCTGGTATTCAGACGAGGGCATAAACCTTGTCATGGAAAGGGATTATGGAACAGATGGGAAACTCAAGGAGGTTAGATGGAAGTCTGAAATGAAGAGAAGATGGTCTAATCCACCCCCCACGTAGATTCTTTCTACTCATTTTAGGTTTTGGTTAGAGCCACAGTTTGTAAATGGTTTTTTCCCGGGAATCTATGTTGGATTTGCCCTAACCATTCATATGTTGCAGTGATGAATAACTTGCCTTCCAACAACAATTTGGTACAGAAGAAGCGAAAATACAGTAGTAACATACAATCTGGAGCAATTACAAAATTACACATCCAAGTAAAAGTAAAACAGCACTGCCTCTTGCCTAGCACCTCACACAGCCTGAACTAAACTAAGCACGGACTATCAAAGCTGCCAATACAAGCGAAAAGCTCAGCACCAAATAGCTTATGGAGCCAAAACTGCCAGTTGCTGCATTAGTTCCACTAGGCGAAGTTGGCGAGCTGTTGGAAGAAGGTGAACCAGAACCTGACGGTGTGGTGCTTGGAGTGGTTGAACCAGAACCTGAAGGAGTTGATGGGCTGGTGGGGGGAGCAGGGGTGGAGCCGCTGCCGCCTGAATCCTTAACGCTGACGGCCAACTTCATACCTTGGCCACAGTGCGACGTGGTTGGACACATAAAATACGTCTGACCGGCTTTGGTCAGATTGTAGGTGGTGCTGCCTCCAGAATAGGTCTCGAGGGCGTTTCCAGGGTTACAGTTGTCATAGTCATTCTTGCTCACAACATCCACTCCATGTAAACTACCATAGTTGAAAACTACACAAACAAAGTCACAATTTTTGGTCAGTTTAGATAGTGAAAAAAAAAACCTGATAGAGCGATCCACCCAGGATATGGAATTGAAGAAGAAGAAAACGAAAAAGAAACTGCATGAACTAACTAAATGGATGCATGCGAATGAATTAGTAAAATATGTATACCAAGTGTGTCCCCAACATTGAAGGTTTCGCCTTTAGCCCAAGAGTTATAATCAACTCCAGTGTCCCAACCATTACTGCCTCCTACAACATGGCTAATAGCACCATAGACTGCTGGAATTGCAAGCACAAGAAAAAGAGCTGCAACTTTCAGGGCCATTTGCAAAGGCTCAATAATTTAAATGTGGTTTTTTTTCACTAAGGAAAGGTACAAGACTACAATATAAGCATCTATATATATATATATATATATATATATATATATATATACACACAAAATCAAAGAGAAAAGAAAATGAAGGGTTAGTTTTGATTGTTCAAAAGGGGTTGAATTTAATTAGTTTTGGTGATAACTAACCTTTAATTTAATATCGCTTCCTTTCCCATCAATCTACACCAGTTACGTACCTAATGATTTAGAACTTCTTAAATATTTTGTGTCTCTGTTACTTGTGCTTCTTTTTCCAGTGAAGCTTCTAACAAGGATGAAACTGGTAAGTATATGTAACACTTTTACTTGGAAAATTTGTCCAGATGAACGTATGTTATTCGTTGTCTAGTTTCATCATTTTCTTTTAGTACCTCTTAAACATTATTGTACTTAATTAATTGCTTTTCTTTATTTTTTTTTTCTTATTATATCAACAAAATCGGTGATATGTCTATCTATCGGTTTAAAAAATAGCCAAGGAAAAAAATTACTCCAATGCTTGCATACTACCTTTATATAGTTCATCCTCTAACCATAGCATTGACCCATCTATTTGACTTCCTAGATTATTTACATTTACTGATCGGCATTAAAGTGAAGGATGGTTGGCTTGAAATTAACTAGTAAAATATATCAGTCGTTCTCAAACATTACCAAATGTTAGGTTTTGAAGGAATATTAAAACCTAGTCCTCTTTATATCGCCACCTAACCTAAAGAGGTTCCAAAGCATGCATTAACATGGTCCATCCAAATTACTTCCTCAGTCTTATAATAATGATATACTTTTTTTATATTGTCAAAATTGAATTTATGAGATAAGTATCTTCTAAAAATTGTGACGTGCCTTGATAAAAGAATTTAATATTCTATTCATTTCATAATAGTAAAAGTTTAATTTCTAAGATTAAGTATTTTAATTTTTGTATCTACTTTGAAAATATATATAGTATAACACAGGAATGGGGCCTGGTAAATAATTTTTAATGGTTATTGGTTTACTATTATTATTATTATTATTATTATTATTATTATTATTATTATTATTATTATCATTATTGTTATTATTACCTTTCAAAGTAAATTGCGTTGCGTATTGACCAGGGATGTTAGAAAACAACTAGGGTTTGGTTGGAGTGGTTGAATCCTGCATGCATATATTATCGGATCTCCAATCAAATATAAAATTATTGTCAAAAAGTAAATCATCAATTATGAACTGAGGTTAAGGTTGTTTTAATCCTTACTTTCATGTAGCTGTTCAACCAAAAAAATTATTTTTTAGAGACGGAAAGAGTATGTTAACATTATTAATAACTTTCTTTTGTTTTAAAACAATTATTATATTTGAATTTTTGTCGCTAATACAGTTTGTAAAACGATAGATCCAAAAGAGACAAATCATTTCGGGACAAGGTAATTTTAAATAAGCATTCAAATTGGTGATAATTGATTAAAGAACTACCCATATCAATTGGAATTAGATAGAAGAAAATTCACTTTCGCGGGTAAGGGAATGAAACGATTGGACATTTCATTCCGTTTCCAAATGTCGCTTTATATTTTCATGGTACACGCATTAATGGATAAAAATAATTTATTTAACCTAGTGTAGGATAATCTATTAAGCAAACTCAAGTTAATGTCCATTCCTCCGCCTCTTACTATACAATGTCAGAAGTTAGATTTTGTTTTCGTACTGACCTATCTCAAAGTAATTATAATAATTATCTGGTTAATATATTCAAAATTATATTCAGAACAGTCATTTTGAGACGAAAACATTATTATTATCCGTTTCAAACATTATAGCATTGTTTCTAGCCGTGTTTTCCCCCCTTTGAATGTTGGTTTTTGGTACAAATGTCGATAGCCGCCGACTCTCATTAGGTAGCAAACTAAGTTTATTTAAGGATTTATGCAAAGACTAAATGGCTACATGCCACGCTTTTTCGTTAAGTGAAAGTTAGTGTCGCTGCTATTAATTACTCCCTCTGTCCTAAAATTATTGTCCAGTTTCAGATTTCACTTTTAGTACAATTTCAACTAAAAATAAAAACTCAAACTGGACAATAATTATGGGACAGAGAGAGTACTAAGTATTTCTTTATTTGCGAGAGTTCAACAACTCAGGGAAAAAATTAAAGGGGTAATAATTTTCATCTATAAGTTATAGTAATCCCCTATTTTGTGTTTTTATTCATTGTCTAAGTTTAGTTTTCATATTTCATCTTTATAGTACCTTTTTTTTTTCTAGCATATTCAACAACTCCGCCGGCATAAGTCTTTCTTTAATTTCTCCTTAGCCTTCATGCTTCAAACAAAAGTGAGTACAAATTTTGGGGTTTTTTTTTTTTTTTCTAATAACTAGATGTGGGCGGTAAAATGTTGCGAACTTTCTATAAGAGAAGGAATATATGGAAGCCTTTTGGTTTTGGGCAGCTTGAACTCCTCCAATCGAGAGTCTACCTTCCAACCATTACGGACATTAGTTTACAATTTACATTCGTCATTGATATAACTTGTAAACATTTTGAAGTTAATCGAAATAATTGTCTGACTCAGATTTTCATTTTAGTGTTCCTTCCATCCCATAATTATTATCCAGTTTGAATTTTTATTTTTAGTCAAGCCGGCAAATGGGCGGATTTGGACTACTTGGTATTTAATGGTTATTAGCTTAATAGGTAAATATCCATCCATATCCATTAAATTTAATAGATTTAAATGGATGGTATTAAATACTTATGGGTATCCATGGATATCCATAATATCCATGAATACATACCCATAGATATCTATAAATACATTTAGTGAATTTTTTAACATAAATACATATGTTACCAATTTAATAAATATGATCCCAACTAAATAAAACGAAATAATAAATTAATTCTTTCACACCAATATGAATAGTATGAGTCCAATAAATGAAAAATATAAGTGTATATTTTATTTGAACAAAAATTCAAATGTCACGCAGATATTAGATCGACCCATTAAAACTTGATAAGAAACATAAAACTGATTATTCTCTTATATTAAAATTCATGTTTGTACTTTATTTAACCAAAAAAAAATCAAAATTAGACCAATATATTGTGGCCCGGTTATTAGGTCGACACCAACTCGACCCAGTTAACTGTTGCTTGAAACGTGAAAATTTGAAATTCAACGAGTTTGAAATACAAATATAAGTTTTACTTGAACCCAAAAAAAAAAAATTCGCCTGCTTGTCGTGACCCGTTGACCCAGCTCGATTCATGGGTCGATTCAGTTTGATCTATTGGTCGACCCTGTAAAACGTGATAGAAAACATAAAAATTATTAGTCTCTTAAGTTAAAATTCATGATTGAATTATTTTGAATTATTCGCCTGATTATCGTGACCTGTTGACCCAGCTCGATTCATGGGTCGATTCAGTTTGATCCATTGGTCGACCCGGTAAAACGTGATAGAAAACATAAAAATTATTAGTTTCTTAAGTTTAAATTCATGATTGTACTTTATCTTTTTAAAAATTCAAAATACGATACATGTACCGTGGTCTGATTACTGGGTCGACCCAATACGACCCATGGATCGATCCAATTTAATATGGCTCGAAACATGAAAATTGAATTTCAATGAGTGAAAATACAAAGTGTAAATGTTTCTTTGAATAAAAAATAAGAAAAACGACCCGTGTATCGCGACCCGATTACTGGATGGACCCAACTCGATTCATGGGTCAATCCATGGGTCGACCAATAAAATTTAGTAGAAAATATAATTATTAGTCTCCTAAGTTAAAATCCATAGTTGTACTTTATTTTTTTAAAAATCAAAATTCGATCCATGTACCGTGGTTCGGTTATTGAGTCGATCCGACATGACTCAGGATCGACCCAGTTTAGTATGGCTCAAAACGTAAAAGTTGAACTTGAAGGAGCTAGAAAATACAAGTAACAAGTGTAAAATTTATTTGAACAAAAAATAAAAATTCGACTCGTGTATCATGACCTGGTTACCGAGTCGACCCACTTCGATGCATGGGCTGACCCAGTTATACTTGCCATAAATGTAAAAATTCAAAGTCCATTAAGTTATAAAATATACTATTGTTAAAAAATAATTTTATGTATGGGTCAATCCGCGGATAAAAATTTTATAGTAAACCAGTTGATTCACAACCTACGCCAACTCGTCATGACCCAGCCTGTATATGACCCTTCCTTAAATGAGTTGGATTGGGTCGGGTCATGACTTACTTAAATGATGATTGTATAATTTGAAAATCCAATAGACGTGGACTACCCATACTCGTCCAAATAACTTTCTATCCAGATCCACCCAAGCCCAAATTTTAAAGAGATGGACATTTATGGACTAAAGTCCAATGGATTTGGATGGGTAGTAAGTCTGTGGGTATTCTTGTCAGCTCTAATTTTTAGTTCAAATTGTACTAAAAATAAAATCTCAAACTGGACAATAATTTTGGGACAGAGAGAGTATAAATTATAATTATCTTATTTGGACAATTATATTGAAAAAAAAAGAAATACTGTAGTTATCGAGACACACTCTAATTATAGCTAGCAACGTTAGCTCAATGGAATGAACAAAGGGTTGGATTGAGTTTGATACGGCAAAATTAAGCTTCCAGAAAATCAGGCTTTCGTCTTTTTAGATTTTTATCGATCTAGATTTGGAAATGTATGATAATCTGTCTAAAACGTTCCATATATTTGTTTCATTATTACTCTCTCCCTCCGGTTCAACAAAAATTTAATTTTAATTTACGCTTTATAAATAAAAAACAGAGAGAGTATGTGTACATACAGAAATAGAATTGCATTATATATACTTTTTTAACTAATTCTGAAGTTAAATTGTAAAAAATATATTTTAACTTGTACGTATTATTAATTGATACTAGATGCTTGCCCCAGGTGAATGCCCAAGGTGCCGTCTTTACTTTTAAATTGATTAAATAAAAAAATAAATTATCTTTAAAAGAATAAAAAATAGAAAAATACAAAATCGATTAAAAAGGACAGGAACTGAGTTATTACACATAAACCTATGCCGGATTTACAACAGTTACCTTATACCCGGATTTACATAACTCATAAACCAATATCTACAACAGAAGAATAAAAAAAACAAATCATCCTTAAAAAATCAAATTTCCTTCCATTGCCGCTTCTTTTTCCTCTGTTGTAGAAAGAGATGAATTGATAATTGATGTCAGATTTTAAGTAGTTGATTTGAAGGCCCGGGTCTGAGAGAGGAGCAGAATGGAAAAGATCATTTGAGATTGGGTGGCAGTGTTGTTTCACTTGATTTAA